ATCTAATATATATATATTTATATATATTCTGACACCTTGTGGGCCACATACATTCTGTGTAGAACTGGCGTGCATGCCAATATGTAGATACCAAAGATTCGCCAAACTGCACAGAAATAGTCCGGTACTTATGCACGCGCATAGAGATTAGGCGTATGGTTTCGTCGGTGTCGGTTAGAGCCACAACTGTATCCCTTACACGCAATGTACCTTGCTTAGGCGCATAGATATACTCACAGGACCTGTTCTAATCGAATGGTCCCCTGCCACACAACTGTAACCCCCCTCGATAGGTAGTTGTCTGGTGTCATAGTCATAGCCGGGCATCTCCGTTAGACTCAATGTCTATACACGCACTCGTGAGCAGTATGTATACTGAGTTCAATACCTACATCGCATAGGGGACGCTGTATCAGAGGTAGACCGATACCTCACACGTTTATAGGGTTGCTTGGCTGATCCCTCATAAGTTGATGGGGTGGTTTAATCATCCAGAATATCTGTAGAGTGGGGTGCGTTATACATAACAGACGTACAACTTAGTATAGTGCACTTTTCATACTCTGCCACAGGCTGTTTGGCTGCGATGGTATTGGTTTGTGCGTGTATCTCATGTACCTACCTGCCCATACTCTGCCACAGGCTGATTGGCTGCGATGGTATTGGTTTGTGCGTGTATCTCATGTACTTACCTACCTATACTCTACCACAGGCTGTTTGGCTGCGATGGTATTGGTTTGTGCGTGTATCTCATGTACCTACCTACCTATACTCTACCACAGGCTGTTTGACTACGATGGTATTGTACTGGAGGGTTGGGCGACATATTCGCGTTATATCGACAAGAACATGCTGCGTGCGTTTGTGCTCAAAGTGGCGCAGAGAATGAAGGCCGCGCAGTTGGAGATGATCCTTGTCATACCGGTATGCAGGAACAATTCAAAGCGGTACGCATGACAGGTGCACATGGTGTTGGGTACAAATGTGGGCCTTTCTATGAGTCTCATGTTTGCTGTCTTCTTGTTGTACCGGTATGCGGTAGCCCTTCAAAGCGGTACGCATGACAAGTGCACATGGTATTGGGTACAAGTGTGGGTCTTTCTATGGGTCTCATCATTGCTGTCTTCTTGTTGTACCGGTATGCGGTAACCCTTCAAAGCGGTACGCATGACAAGTGCACATAGCATTGGGTTATAGGCCGTTTTTGTTTGCGTTGTTCGTGAGGTGAGTGGATACTCTCGTGTGCATATATCCGTGCATGGGATCTGTTCAGAGGAGTGTAGGGCTGTCTTAACTTACCTTACCTTTACTTAGCTTAGCGTGGTACGTGCAGACTCACCGGTACCTTTGAGGTGAGCCTTGAGAATTAGGACATCTGCGGCCTTTATGGCTCATCCACTGCACCTCTTGAGGAGAATTAGGACATCTGCGGCCCTTATGGCTCATCCACTGCACCTCTTGAGGAGAATTAGGACCTCTGCGGCCCTTTTGGCTCACACACTGCACCTCTTGAGCGGCAAGTGGACCGCACACATCGCATCTTAGGCGCTGCACCACTGTATGGCGTATTAAACGTATACATCCCTTTGTAGTCACACATTGGTATCCATTGTAGAGCAGTGTTGAGTGTATTAAACGTATGCATCCCTTCGTAGTCACACAGTGGTATCCATTGTAGAGCAGTGTTGAGTGTATTAAACGTATACATCCCTTCGTAGTCACACAGTGGTATCCATTGTAGAGCGGTGTTTGAGTGTGATGTGTGTCGTAGATGCTATGATCACCTCCGGACATCCCTATGCCCGCATATCTCTAAGCGGCAAACGCAATACGCGCACACATTCACGTGAGGTGTATAGTATCTATTTATAGAATGGAACACCGGTTTATAAATAGTATGAAGGTCATTGTATTGGCTACACTTGTGTGCGTCATACACAATACTCGCACACAATCTGGTTGTCATGGCAACACTCGCACACAGTCAGGTTACCACGGAAACACTCGCACACAGTCAGGCTGTCATGGCAACACTCGCAAACAGTCAGGTTGTTGGTATCATGTCTACAAGCCGAAAGCGCTACACCGCCTTGAGCCTGTATCCATGTGCTACATCTATTAGCGTCCGAACAAATGCTCCGCACTGGTGCATATCGTGTTTCCACCGTCCGTTTTTAAAATAGAACGGAGTAATCTATTTTTATCTCGTACTCATTACTCTGCTCCACACAGCCCATGCGCTACACCTCTGAGCGGCAGATGAGTACCTTCTTCGATCGCAAAGACTTCGATGTGCTCAAGAAAGAGATCGCTTTCTTCAGTATCATGACCTACGACTTCTCATCGTATGTGTATATAGCTGTGGGTCTATGCGCAAACCAACGACTATTCATTAGAGGTGTATACAGCCGCCATGCTATAGTGACTTAGCACCATGCTCATCATACGTGTATATCTGTGTGGGTGTATTCCTAGCTTTCAAAGCTCAGGACGTATCGTCGTCGTCGTATATATATATATATATATATATATATATATATATATATGTGTATTGATTTTGTTCGTGTGTGTGTGTGTGTTCGTGCGTGATACTTATATGAGTATCTGTATGTGTCGTGTTTGAGCTGAGTCTGATATGTGCGTAGTTTCATGTCTTATTTCCATCACCCATTCATTCACAGCTGATAGGTGTCGTAGCAGCCAACAGTCGCACTTTAGACCCATGAAGCACACGTGTCCATTGATAACTCAATCTATCCAAGTGATGGCCAGGGCGCAGAATACTCAAACAAATACTCGGATAATCATATAGTTGGGCGTACATCGATAGATATCTCTATGTTCTTGTATGGTAGCCGTGAATTGTGCTATTGCTGCGATTGGATTGGTTATAAACCGTAAGCTATACGTAGTCTTCATCAACAGAAAACCGGGTTCCAGTGTATTCAAACATATATGAGAACGTTAATGTACACAGACAAGTGTACACGTGGATATAGTTTGCCATGAATCAGTGTCTACATGTGTCAAAAGTTAACGTAATAAACCCCTTTTGTCAATAGTTCGTAATAAACCCCTTTTGTCAATGGTTAACGTAATAAACCCCTTTTGTCAATAGTTAACGTAATAAACCCCTTTTGTCAATTGTTAACGTAATAAACCCCTTGTGTCCTGCCCACAGCCGGCCTGGGCCCAATGCACCCATAAACTGGACACGCGCTGCGATAGAGATGTTGGTACCTGAGAATATAACTGCAGAAAGGAATAAGGTACCCACAGATACAGCGCATGTATTGAGATATATATATGTGTGTGTGTAGATGCGTGAACAGTGCTCATGTACCCGCGTGTCTGTGTGTGCACATAGAGGTTGAATACTCTTCCCTGGTGTGGTTCGTGCATATATGCATGTCCGTTCGTGTAGAAACTCCCATCTAGGGCATGCATCAGAGGTTTAGGGTTTAGGGTTTTAGGGCGTTAATGCATGTGTCTTCCGGCATGTTCGTTTGGTAGATTGTTCGTCTAGCTCTTATGTGTTGAATGTCATATCCACAGTCCTCTTCTGCATGACTCATCACCCAATACCACATCAGTCACATCGACCACCAACCACTTGTACCTGCACGTAAACGAAATCACCATGGCAACAGGATCCTCAAAGCATCACTCATTACGGACTGACTCCTAAACACTATAGTCGAGTGTACCAAACTTGCGCACACGCACCTTACTACATACTACGCGTCTCACACATGCAAGCCTTGCCTTGCCTTGTGTTTGTGCTTCAGATTATATTAGGTTTAAACTTGTACGGATACTATGCTCATACTACGCATCTCACACATGTAATGCTTGCCTTGTCTTGTCTTGCCTTGTGTTTGTACTGCAGATCTTCTTAGGTTTAAACTTGTACGGATACTATGCTCATACTACGCATCTCACACATGTAATGCTTGCCTTGTCTTGTCTTGCCTTGTGTTTGTACTGCAGATCTTCTTAGGTTTAAACGTCTCACACATGTAAGCCTTGTCTTGCCTTGTGCTTGTACTGCATATCTTATTAGGTTTAAACGTCTCACACATGTAAACCTTGTCCTGCCTTGTGCTTGTACTGCAGATCTTATTCGGTTTAAACGTCTCACACATGTAAGCATTGTGTTGCCATGTGCTTGTATTTGTACTGCAGATCTTAGTAGGTTTAAACTTCTACGGATACGACTACTCGCCGACGAACACGCGCGCGCTGGTCAACACAGAGTATAGCGCCATCGTACACAATGAGGCCCTAGACCTTGCCTGCAAATGGAGCCACGAGTACAGGGAGATGGAGTTTAGATATAAGGTCCATAATGAGATCCATGAGATGTGGTAGGTACTGGCTGTGGTTGGGTTGGGCTGGGTTGGGTTGGGTGTTGGAGGAGTTTATTCAGATATAGGGTCCATAGTGAGATCCATGAGATGTGGTAGGTACTGGCTGTGGTTGGGTTGGGTTGGGTTGGGTGTTGTAGGAGTTTATTCAGATATAGGGTCGATATTGAGATCCATGAGATGTGGTAGGTACTGGTTGTGGTTGAGTTGGGATTGGGGTTGGGTTGGGTTGGGTGTTGTATGAGTTTATTCAGATATAGGGTCGATATTGAGATCCATGAGATGTGGTAGGTACTGGCTGTGATTGGGTTGGGTTGGGTTGAAGAGCATATAATTACATATGCAAGCATACTCATATGTACTTCTAGTACCAGTATTTTAAATATAAACGCATGTGAGTCATGCATTGTCATTTACGCAGGGTATATGGTTGAAGAGTATATCATTACACATGCAAGCATACTCATATGTACTGCTAGTATCGATATTTTACTTGTAAACGCGTATGTCTTGCATTGTCATATACACGGGGCATATGGTTGAAGAGTATATAATTACACATGCAAACATACTCATATGTACTGCTAGTATCGATATTTTACATGTAGACGCGCATGTCTTGCATTGTCATATACACGGGGCATATGGTTGAAGAGTATATAATTACACATGCAAACATACTCGTATGTACTGCTAGTATCGATATTTTACATGACAATGCGTATGTCATGCATTGTCACATACACAGGGCATATGGTTGAAGAGTATATAATTACACATGCAAGCATACTCATATGTACTTCTAGTATCGTAATTTTAAATATAAACGCATCTGAGTCATGTATAGTCACGCGCTTAGCCCATTCTACAAGTCCACACGGCACGTTCGGGTACTGTACGCCATATCTCGGCACCTGTTTCTATCTCCACGATGTTAGTGTTCGTATTTGAATCGGGTTGCCACCCATGTACCTTGCTCGGGCTACATGTCCGCCTCATATTGAGTGCATAGTGTAGTGTATAGTGCATCTGCAGGTTGTCTTGGTGTTGTGATATAATACACCACAGACGCTATTGAGTTCATAGTGTAGTGTATAGTGCATCTGCAGGGTGTCTTGGTGTTGTGATATTGTATACCACAGACGCTATTGAGTTCATAGTATAGTGTATAGTCCATCTTCAGGCTGTCTTGGCGTTGTGACATAATATATCACAGACGCCACTCAGTGCCTGACCCACTCCCTAAGCGTCCTGCAGTCTCTCATGTCCGCCTACTGTACGTTCATCGCATTGGCCTATCATGGGCCCAACGTGTGGGGACCAATCACTATAACATTTCAGAGCCTCGGGGGTTTCAGACTGCAATTTGGTGCTCGTTCATTGGTTGATGTATTTTGTGCTGTGTTTTGATTGGTAGATAATCATCGTGTGCACCCGGACACGTGCTTTATATTCATAGTTCTCTATCACAACAAATTCTTAACGTGTTTACATTCTCGCCCGTACTACTCTGTAATTAGCCTGGCCTTACCCAAACCCTAAACCCTACACCCTAAAATCGAACCGTCTCAGGTACCCTACGCCCAATTCGGTGCGTGCGCGGATTGACCTGTCGCGGGAGCTGAATGTGGGCATATCGATATGGGAGATCGGACAAGGCATAGAGCCCTTCTACGACTATCTATAAATAACAATAAATATATCTATAAAGGACAAAAACGATATCTATAAATAACAGTAACGATAACAATAATGATAACGATTGCCATATCATATGTAGTTAATTTGCATGTTGATGGGTGCGCGTTGGCTCACTGTTACCCTTTACATATTCGCGTGTATGTTCACGTGTCTGCGCCTGTTAAAACGCCAAGTAGTGTACTGCATTCCACAGCATTGTCCTTCTTCGTATGTACTTTTATGCTCGTGTGTCTTTGTATATGTTTCATGGAATGCACGCAGTCACTCCCACTTGTGCAATGATACCTTGCGTGCGTAGTACATTCTCTTCGTTCCCTATTTTTCTCTTGAATATCGGGACAGTTAGATTTTATTGGGATAACCGTAAACGGGTATTGTGTTGTGAGTATATATATATATATATATATATATATATATCTCCAGTCCATGTGATCTCAGAAAGCCACGGACGACATGCCCGGTCCCCAATGTTTATACGGGCACCAATACAACACCAATACCACCTGTAAAAATGGACACAGGAGACTGCCAAAAAGACAGCTGCTAAGCATAGGAGGAATGTATCATTGTCTACTACTTTAGAAAAAAAAGGAACAATACCATCGCACTACTACGGGTGGCGCACAACTCCTACCATGGTCAAGGTGTCGTGTGCCTAAGGACGGTAGTACAGTGTTCTCAGGAGAGTTGAGACGAGTCACCGTCGCTATCAAAGTTGAACCCTGAGTGTCAGTGAGAAGTTAAACCTCTGTTCAACTACCTGGCAGAGTATGTAGCGCAAACCGGTCCAGAGTCTATGGTGAAGGACGGGACACCTGGCCAATCACCTGATACGTGGCATTTTTGGTAATTCCGGTACCTCCGATGTGAGTGCAAGTCACTCTCGACTGCTCTGTGCTAGCTACCATAGATAGAGAGCCTTGGGGCGAATGTGTAGATAGACAGATAGTCTCATAGTTGCACTAGAGTCCTGTAGTGGTGATAGATCTCTACTACTGGTTGATGGAGTGGGCTGGGTACATAGTAGTGGTCATGGGATTGAGTGTGCCCCCCATGTCTCGAGAGTGAGTGACACGGTGTTGAGGAAGGAAGGCCTGCCCTAATGCGAGTGGCGGGACGCTAGTTTATACGAAGATAGGATTTAGAGTTTATGAGTACGAAAGTTCGGTACATACTAGTCGTCCGATGCCAATTCCAACACTTGCACACCACTGAACGCCTAAAGATACTGGTTGCCTGTAGAAGACATAGGCAGCTCAAAGAGCACTCTGCCTGTGGCGGGTCGTCTGAGGGCAAGGCCAGAAGCTACTGGCATAGTAAAGATTGGTGCTATTGCTAAGCGGATTTTTGGGCCAGCATCCCGCTTTTAACCGGTATCCACTGGCATTAAATGATTGACACTTATCGTGTAGGCCAATCCGTACCTATGGGA